CCGCTGAGCAGGGAGCCCGATGTGGGGCTCGATCCCAGGACCCTGGGATCATGACCTGAGCCGAAGGCAGACGCTTAACTGACTGAGCCATCCAGGCACCCCACTCCTAGAGCTTCTGACAGGACAAAGGGTAGGGGAAAACTAATGTATTTTAAGAGAAGAAAAGAAGAGTAATTATCAGAACACACTCTGGATGTCTACACTCCATAACTGGCACTTAGGGACCATATATATTCCTATCTTATCAGGCCATTTGTAAAATCACAACTGCTCCTACAACAAACACAGATGGGAAGTGCCTGCCACTGGACTGGGATTGGGACAGACAGAGGTTAGAAAGGGAGCAAAAGAAGGCACCCTTTCAACCGTGGATATTAAATGTAGAGCAGAACAGAAAGAAATGAATTGACTTAGTCAAAACGATGCCTTATCAGCCTGGGAAAGACGGAGGAGAGGTCACGGCAGGGAAAAGGGGAGGGCATCTCAGCAGGAGAAACAGAATATAAACTCCATGTTTCCAAGCATAGTCTTCCCCAAAGCCAAGCACAAAGGGCCAGCTCCACGGTGGTGCTCTGAAGACTGTCTAGGACAAGACCTGGAGACGTCATGCTCTGGAGTGAGCCTCATCCTGTAGGGCTAAGTGGATGTCCTGCTACTAGGACTAAAACGACAGCAACTTTTTCCCCAGCAAGCCAAAGAGAGCTGTGTCTGTTCCTAGAAGGCATCAAAAGAATTCAGACTCCTCTCTGCCTCAGCAAGTAACAGGTCTGGGTAGATGTGTGACTGCAAACGGTAAGGATCCGTGGGGAGCAGTTCCATGAGGCAGGCAGCGTTTCATCCCATTGGACACAATGGTGAAGTACCTGTAAGATTCACTGCGGAGGATCAAATGACGTGCCTACTCTGATCCACACCTTGCTGCCTCCCTGAGTGCATCCTGCTGAGGGACATACTTGCCTGGACAGTTCCCAGCCTGCGAAAGTGCACAGCTACCCCGATACTGAAGAATCCAGAAGGCTTAGTGACTTAACCTGATGACAGCTGGCTTTGATCCAAGGAACGATACATGTAAACACCAAGTCGCAGTCACAGTTCCGATTTCTCCCCACAAACAGGAGAATTTTAGGTTTCCCTGATACTTAGGGGAAACAAACTGCATGCCTGAATCCGTGCTAACGCACAAGACCAAGGAGAAAAGCTGATAAACCGATGACAAACCAACCTTGTGGGCAGGGTGCAGCAACCGTCCACCGTGAGTCGGACTTGAGTCTCGTAGCTGTCCAGAGGGCACACGGCCTGCTGAACGGAGGGGCACTCCACGGTGCTGCAGTCCACGCTGAAAACTGAGAGGGGCAAACAGAAGCACCATTTACTGTTACATTTACTTGCATTTCGAGTCCCAGCACGAAACTCTGGCCCTTCGCAAAGGGCTGCAGGTTCCTTGCGTCCCAGAACCCTCTCCTAGCAATGACATTTTTATTTCAGCCAACAGTAGAGAACTGCAATGTGTCCCTTATCAGTGCCAGGACTTGTTAATTAACAACTGGATGAAGGGCTAAGTAGATGAAGTCCTCTTAGCCCTTCCTAAGCCCTCTAAGCTCGTCCTATGAAGATGATGGGGGAGAATGAGAAGGGCACCAGTGGTGGTTACGTGGCTGGAGAGAGTCAGCCAGCCAGAGGCGCTTCTCGTGGGACACGGCAAGAGACGGACAAGGGATTGTTTGGCTTCAGGCATTTATCTAGCAGTAGGGGAAAAAAAAACAAAGAAAAACCTCTGACCAACAGTTAGAAACTTGCAAACAGGAAAATCACTATCGTCTAGACCTGTTCACAGACCACATTAGAAATGCCACAAGAACAAGGATGTTAGAAATAATAATAAAGCAAGAAGTAGCTGTGAAAGGACAACAAATCAAATGTAGCAAAGAAGGTGAGTGAACAGTCTAAGAAGTCTCAGCACATGCCATCAAGTCAGCGGAGGGACGGTGGGGGCTGGCAGGGAGAAAGACGGGGGCGGAGAATTTCATGACAACACATCTGGCGTTCTGATGCGTATATTTATCTCAACATAACTTGCTGTTTACACATGATGATTGTCTTTACGTGGAGTAAGGTGATCGATACATCCACAAGTGAGGGCTCTGATCTTCTCTGGGGGGGAATGAAGCACGGAGCTAGAGGGCCATAAATTTCAACCCCGCTTCCCCCGTCAAGCATACTTAGAAGGAAAAGAAAGAGAAGGGAAGAAACAAAGACGGTCCCTATCTGCAGGTGCTTCCGTACCAGTGGATGATCACTCTGGCGCTCTGACTGGAAGGCCAGACATCAGGCTGCCATGACCCGAAGTGGCAGGTGTGCCCATCCTCCCGGGGGGAGGGGGGAGGCGGCAGCGGCAGAGGGGGCTGCGACCCTGCGACCCGGTGACGCAAAGCAGCAAGGCTGCTGAGGCGATGCCCACGCGTACCTGGTTTGCACTCATAGAGGTCACAACACTCTCCCGGCTTCCCTGAGGCTTTGGACACCAGTATGTTCAGGTATCCCGGCTGGCAGACTTTGCGCAGGCAGCCCGCAGGGTCGCACACGCAGCGGCTGGGTAAGGGGCAGCACTCCCCGGGGGGAGCATAGCCCTCGATCAGAACGGAATCTTCAGGACACCGTGGAGAGAACTGGACTTCACAGCGGGCCTTGGAGCAATCTGGCTTCTCTTCTAAATGGGAGAGAAAGAATTTAGCACATGCCCGGGGGCAGCGTGGGGCACTGGCGTAGGAAGCATGGGCAGTCCTGAGGATCTATTCATGGACCGAAGAGAAGGGGAGAGAAAGAACTCTGGCGGAAACCGTCACACTCGGCTTCGCCGGCCGTGAAAATCTCCCCTGAGATCCGCTCGCGACACAGGGGGTGTGAGGCTTCAGTGGCCTTCTCCACCTTCCCGCTCACCTGTGAATAATCGATGTCCAGCTCACGGACCAAAATCAAGAGGGGTGCAGGCAGGTGCCTGCATGACGTGCAGACTCTGGGAACTGGACTTCATCACTGACTGACCAGAAGATCTTTGAGTTTAAAAGGAGTTTTAAGGGCTGCTCTCTGAAAACAGTGTATGTTTAAAACCCTGAAACAGACCCAGGAATAAATCCTGGCTACTTCAGGGACTGGGGATAAGGTATGTGATAATCAGCATGAAGAACTCCATCTCTGAGCCCTGAATTCTGAAGAGATGAACTTATTCAGATCCTAGGATTCTATGATGTGGAAGCTCAGCAAGATGGAGAATGAGCTATGTTCCCATGTAATTTCCCCAAACGCCATCTGGCGTTATCTATCCCTAGCAGAGATCCACCAAATGCCCCTCTCTCCTTTCTCCGGTATTATGTACTGTCCACTGCTGCATCTCCACTTTAAAAGATAAGGAATATAAGTCAAGCAAAGCCTTAGCCTCTGGAGCCCCAGTCCACAGCGGTGTCTCTTGGTTTAAGCTTTTAAGAAACCTGCACCAACATCATGTCCTTGAGGAAAAGGCTGAAACAAACCCAAAGCACATCATCGAAGTCCCATGATCTCTGGGGCAGATGAGGGAAGTTCAGAAAATACTGGGTGAAAATGATGCCATGTGGAATGGTGGTACGTTATCATTAGCTCTGTCTTTCCTACAGTAAAACCCATACAGAATCACAAAAGCAGGGTCAGATCCAGATCACCTAGTTTAGTCTTCTAAACAAAAAATTATAGTCTGCTTTGTAGGTAGACCATTTCCAAAACCAAGTGTTCCTCATGCCATTCCTACCTTGACTGCTGTGTCATTCATTTCACTGACCCTCTTCCTTGTCTACTTCCTGGCTAATCAAAGAACACTGGAGGAAAGCCTTCATACTCACAGTTCTAGTAAATTCATTAAAAAATTATTAAGCACCTGCTGTTCTAGCACCTTGGGATGCACCATCAAGAGAACAAGCACAGATTCCTGCCCTCATATAGTTTATAGCACAGTGGAGAGAAATAACAAAATAAAGAACAAACATCATAAATGAGCCAACTGTGCAGTAGCAGAGGGTGTCAGTACCATGGGGAAAAGAAAATGGAACCGAACAAGGGGGAATCTGAATGCATGGAAGTGGGGGACAGCTGCAATTTGGTCAGAACAGGCATCACTGAGGAGCCAATGTTTGAACAAAGACTTGAAGGAGGGAGAGGGAGGGCCATGGAGCTATCTGGGAGAAGAGCGTCCCAGCAGAGGAAACAGCTAATGCCCGGGAAGAGAAAGGAGGCCAGTGTGGCTGCAGTAGGATATACGGAGAATGCATATATCCTATTTTCCTATGATAACCCCAAGCAACTGTCTTGAGAAGAGAACACAAGAGGAATCCCACTCTTGGATACCCATCAGTGTGGACAGAACAAATCAAAGAGCCGAGGAGGAGAAAGTGAATCTTGATTGCATGGGGACTGATGGAGATGGAGTCTGTGAAGTACATTCTGTGGATGGTTCATCTGGCAAACACACTGTCTCCTAAGAAGAGCTCTGTGACATTAATTGCAAATAGCACTTAATTCCTACTCTTGTTAATGTGCTGCAGTTAACTTATTCTGTATCACATTCTATTACATTCTCATCCTGCAAAATATGTGGTATGTATAATCAGACTTTTAAAATACATGCTTCAATAGAACATGCTTTCATCATAACCCAACATATTAGATCTTCCTAGTTACTCCGCTCTTTATGTTTCACGGTCTCAACGTTGTCACCTACTGATGTGCTTTGCAGTTCAAACCTTGAGAGATTTATTTACTTCCCAAGAACTACCTTTGTAATACAAATGGGATAAGGTATATAGACACAGTCTGAACCACTGTCCGAAGGGATTTAGGAATGTTAAAAATGAGGGTAAGATCTTATTAAGTGCTTTTTCAACTTTTCTCAAGATGATCATATTGACTTTCCCTTTAATTTATTATATAATCAATTAGCAGATTTAAAATTATCCTTCTTTTCTTAAAGCCTCATTCTAAAGATCCAGCTGGATCTTAACATTAAGATTTTTAAATTGATAAGCTTGAACAATACTCACCTGTAGCTCTTTGGTGTGAGCGTGGGTGTGTGTGTGCACTGCCCTCATCCAGTCTTAGTTCCCACGTTACACTAAATTGTTCAATGAGCTGTTTTTCATTCTACCTTACTCTGCTGTAAAACATTTTAAATAACATGGGAATTATGCATTTGTTGAATTTTTCATACAACCCAATTGTGAAACTATCAGAACTCAGTTTTGTTTTTTTTTTTTAAAGGAAGAAGAGACAGTTTTCTTTGATTATTAGATTTCAGGCATTCTACCTCTTTTAGAATCATCTGTACAGACACTGCTGAGTGTCTAATTTATCTAGATTTTCAAATTCATTTCAGGTTTTATGACCAAGCATTCTGTTTTTGTAGTTTATGTGTGTTCATCAGTTCTGTTAGTTTTTGAATCTCTTCCTTCTTCGTCTTCCAGATTATTTCACTGATTTTTCTCTAGTGCTTAGTTCTCTTCTATTGCCTCTATTTTCTTAGAAATGCAAATAATTTCAACTGTGATATTAATACTTCAGGCCAAATATTGCTTTAGTTATATTCTGATTTTTTGATATGCATTACTCTCAATGTAAACTCATTTCTTAATCTATAATTCAACTTTGATTCCCTCAACTGAAGACTTTATAGAAGAATGCTATTACATTTCTGCATAAGTATTTTTGGCTTTCCTCTTGATTTTAATTTTTATAATTTTATTGTTTTGTTGCAGAGAATGTAGGCTGTACAATTTTCTACTTCTGCTAATTTCTTGAATTTGTGTTTGTGTGTATGTATGTGTTTTGGCACAAGTGTGTACACATGTGGTCTAAGGTCAACTTTAAAATATATGGGTATTTGAAAAGAACATGTATTCTCTGTTTATTGGATGTAAACTTGCAAATCTATAAAATCAAGCTTAATTATGACATTCAGATCACTTACATCTCCTCTTTTTTAATTTCCAAGAAGGATCTATTAAAATCATCCACTATGAACCAGTAACTTCTTGTATTTCCAACAGTTTTTACTTTAAAGCTTCAAGGTTGTGTTCACTCCATGACTAGCAGGCATAAGATTCAAGCCCATTATACTGACTTGGCAAGTTGTAAAATGATGCTTTCGAAGAATCTAGGTTTCTAAGATTTGTATCTTTTTTTAAATTGTTAACATTCTTGGCTTTCCTCTTCTTTCAACCCTCTGTTCATGTCTCGATGGATTATCCAGAACCCCTACTCACCAGCATCTTCTCCAACCAGTCGTCACCTGTGGCTTATACCCAACTACGGTTACCATAGCCTCAGGAAGTGCCTTTCTGGTATTTCTTTTCTCAGCCCCATTTCTAAATTAATTCATCCTGTAGATTTCATTTATTCATCTATGCCTCTGTTCCATCTCTCTTCCATGAAGAAAATAAGGAGAACACTACAGCCACACATGTATTTTCCCTCATTTAGAAGGTTTTTCTGGTATTACCTCTGAATTTTAAATTTCATCCACTTGAAAAGAAGCCTCTCCTCTTTCCCTATGGTGTCTAACAAATCTATATATTATAATTAAGTTAATTAACAAGCTTTTCAGTCTGGTTGCCTTGGCAACACTTTGTAACTGGCATCTTAAAAAAAAAAAGAACAAAAACTGCCCCCGGTACAGAAAGATTGAAGTGAAAGTATCACTTGTAACAGAGGTCACCAAGAGAAAATAGCTTCTTTCATCATATTAATTATCTTCCTTTAAGAGGTTAGCCCTTAAAATATTGACAGGGTCAACCATATTAGAATGATTTTACAATAAAGTATACATCAATCTTAAGTCACTTGAACCTGTGTGACCATGTTGGCTAGTTGTAGATCTTCTCCAGGTCCATAGGTCAACAGGGAAATTACAATCATGATCTACAAGTAGCAATCACATTCAAGATTTTCTGCTTAAACACAGATTTAAATAAAACCAAAGCCAAAACAAAAACTACTAGATGGGAGGAGAAAAAAAAAAAAGGGAGAGAAACATTATATTGCCAGATTCTCATCCTATCTGATTTTTGCAGAGTCCCACACATCTGACACCGAAGCCTTCCTCCTCTTTCAAAATCCCTTAAAATGTCCCTTAAAATGCTACACACTTGTTAATGGAAAACAGGCAGCATGAAACAGACTGAAATTTAGACAGTCAACCGACTACAAAGTCAACACTGCTGAGTGTTCCCTCCGTCCTTTTCCTGAAATCTATCCTGATTCTCACACACACAAACTCACTCAGGCAGCACATGGTCTTCCTGACACAATCCTTGGGAGTTGCAACCACAGAGATATTTCAAGGGATGCCAAGTTTGGCTCAGACTTGATAATCACAGAATTGAGTAGGTAGAGCACAGAGTAAGGAGGGGAGGAGCCTGGGACCGCTGTTTTCCCTACATCTCACGCTGGTAATCTCCCTCCTCACACCCTTCTCTCACTCATTCATCTGACAAATATTTACTGAAGGACTTCAATGTGCCAGGGGTTCTTGGGCACAGAGCTTCGAGATGAGAATAAAACCAAGTCCTTGCCCTCCTAGGTTCACAATTCCGGAGCAAGACACTACTCAAAGAGCTACACGGTGCGCTGTCAGGTGGTGATAAATGTCCCGAAGCAGAATCAGCAAAGCGGGTGTACCAGGTGGGCGAGGGCAGGTCTCACTGAGGCTGCCACCTGCACAGAGGCCTGAACGAAAGAAAGGAGAAGGCATGCAAACAGCAGGGTGGGA